GGGATAGAATATGGGTATCCGTGTATCGTGTCTACCGAAAATATAGGTCAATAAATAGACTGGCGAGGAAAGACACGGACGTACAGGTTTATCCGCGTCCCAGATCAATTTATGCGTCTCAAAAACCAACATATCCAGCAATGCGGTCTTTCCGTGATGTAGATGCCCTACTACAGCGACGTTTCGAATCATTTCCGGGAATGCAGTCATGTTCAACAGAAAGCTGAGATATAGTTTTAATGCGTGAAAAAAAAAAGTGAAAGGAACGGTATTCACCCCTTGTCAAACCTCGTTTCTGGCATATCCTTTTCCTCCACAACCCATTTTCGCACTTTTATTGGAGCGATTATAGGTTCGGTAAGCGGCTGAGCATCCTCTTCTTGTACCAAGGTTTCTACATCGGCACCGTATAGGTCTGACGCGGACGGATAGTACTGCTTGTCTTCGTGCAAGATGACAGCATTGTGTACAGGTTCTGTGTTGTACGGATGACCCAGGAGAATAAGAGGAGAAAAATGAACCTTGAGTTTGATACGATATGTGAATCCGAGAGAATGAATACATACCACTGTCAACTTCCATCAATGTTCCTTCACCGTAGCCTTCTTCCTGGCCAGCCATAGGTATATCTTCATCGTCAAAGCCGTCCAAGGGCGCAGGAGCGCCTGAACCGGAAGCCTGAGGGGCAAAGGTTGGCTGTTCGTTGTCAGAGTCGTCCGAGTCGAGATCTGCGCCAATATAGTTTCCAAATTCGTCATAATCATCGAGAGATGCCATCGTAGTAGGAGCCGGGATATGTAAGCTTTTCAAAAGCAGAGCAAGTCGTCAAACCGAGTTTATAAGATAACTTAGGTCGAGGCGAGTAACGAGCAAAGCGCGTAGATCACGTGATAGATCGAGAATCCACATGCCGCCGTTCGCGGCCGTTGATTGCAAGGCGGCATCTAGCGCTAGGGGTTATCCTCCTCCGCGATCCTCTACAGCTGAAGCGCTGATGCCACACGCTTCAAGATAGTACTGGCGCACTGGCCAACAACCGTCAATTTAGTTTTTCGCTCGGGACCACGCACTGAACGTTGAACCTCGGTCAGTAATCCAGCCGGCGATACATACGGACCCGGTTCTTGCTGCAGCTGGGGAAGAAATTGTCGCTTCTCCCACATCAAGCCACACGACAACCTGCCCTTTCCCCGGCTTCTCCACCCTCCTGGTGCTATGGCTCATGCGCATGGACATACGTACTACTTTATGTATATATCCTCCAGCTCTCAAGTATAGCTTTACTCGCGACACCCCTACTAGTAATAGTATATTTCCATTCCCTTGCCAATAGTCTATGGGATTTTAATTCTCTACATGAACACTTCGCATGCAGCTACTAGAATCTATTGTCAGTACTTCACAGTAACTAACTGGTAAATGCGATAAGATGTACGCGTAGTTATCACGTGACGACAGCTGCCGGACCTCGGTTCCTGAGCCTCAGACTCTGCTCTTCGGTTGACTACTTATCCCACATAATCCATTCTTGGAAACGATTGTACTACGACAAGCACAGCTTCTATCAAGTCTTAAGAGCTCAGAGCTCAAAGAAAAGCCACGGATGCAAGTGATACTATAAAACTGACAAATAAATGTATGGATATCAAACCCCTCTCCATGCCATTTACTAACTCTCGAATTCTCTAGACATAATGGCATCCTCATTTGCGGTCTACGCATCTCAATTTATTAATAATACGATTCCTGCAAATTTGACTCGTCCAGCAAGCTCAGAGCACGAGTCTGAACATCCGATGTTCTTCTCGTTTACGACTGATGCGAATTCGAGACCAGGATCACCTAGGGCTATAGAAGACAGGGAAGAAGAAGAATACGACCTAGATGACCCGCACATGGAACTACTAGGAAGTGGACGAGGATATCTCACTGATATCGGCGGCAGTGAGAGCAGTGCGCAAGGAGGAGGATGGCTAGCGAACCAATTGCCGAGTCAGGAGCAGAGGCGGGGAAATAGACTTGACGAGCAGGAAGACGAATTAGAATTGTCAGAAAGTGATTCTGAACTTCCTTCTGGTTTAATCCACTCTGGAATCCGTACCAAAACAAAATCTCTTCCACAGTCTTCGCCTCTTCCTCCACCACCACGTGTTCTTCCTCGTACACTCGCTGTTGACCTGACAGAGTCCCTTTTGCCGCAATCTGACGATAAATTCACTCTGAATTTGCGCACAAAGTATAACGACGCTCTATGGACAACACTATGGCTAAGTGCTGTATCCGTATGCTATATTGCTGCATTTGTGTTGCTATTTACAACACATGCGCCAGCCTCAGACTCCGCTCCATACCCAACTCTTTTGCACACGCTGCCTCTGTTAATACCGCTTATCCTTTTCTCCGCCCTCGCCGCCTACACACATATCTTCTTCATCCTTTTTTTACGTCTATCCCTCCGGTCACGAGTTTCCGACCCAATCATCTTTCTTAGCGCCCTGGGTACACCTATCGTGTTGGCAGCATGTACTGTCTGGGCTTGGGGAGCTAGTTTTGGGAGCGGGACAGGAACTACCCTCAGAATATTTTCCCTTATCCCCCTCGTTCTCGCCATATACATCTCCTACCGACTATACCGTCTTTTCACAAGCCCAGGTCAAGTAGAATTCACAACAGTCCCCCTCCTCCTAACACTCTCCACCCAAATCCTTTCCTCCAATCCGCTCCTCCTCGCCTTCTCCCCGTTTTTGTTATTTGTCTTGTTCCTGGGCAGTATGCCGTTTGGTGTACTTGGTGCGAGACTGCTAATATCAGGCACTATCTCATTGATTCCAACACTCATCGTATGGCTCTGGTCATGGGCTGTTGTGAGAGGCGTGCTGAGAGTCGTGAGCGCAGGTGTTGTTGGCGGCTGGTATTTTGGTGTTCCAAGGGTAGGAATAGCGAGGGATATTGAGGACGAGGCAGGAGATCCAGACGACACAGATGCAGATCTCGAGCCTCCGCCACAGGTTTTATCCGACGCTCCCTCACACAACTTCTGGACCTTCCCTTCCCGTTCCCTCAAACTAAACACATTCACCTTCCATTCTGCTTTTCACCGCGCAGTCCACACCTCCCTCGGGTCTATATCCTGTGCCGCAGTTGTCCTGGGTGGAATCGATGTTTTCCTCCTCCTCTTTTTCATACTCAAAGCATCACTGAGATTAATCTGCAGTCTTGTACTTACCCTCGGATTCATCATCCTACCAACTCTCATTATGGTTCTGTTAACTGGCATCATGAATTTACCTAGTTTCTTGGGACTTTTCGCCCAAGCCGTGCTATCGTGCCTTCCGAATCCGGTGGTGGGATTTGTTTCACGATCGATACTTTCGGGGGTGATATTAGGCGGGCCCTCGGCTGTAGCTATGGGTCCTGGGATGTTTGCGTTACGTGCCGCGCTTGAGCGTGTTGTGCTGTGGGGTTCAACGTGGATGGTGAGGTATGGGTTGACTTGGGGGAGCTCGTTTGTTGTTAATTGGGTTCAAGAATATTTTGGACAGACAGGGAGGACAAGGAGGGGAAGAAAGTCTCGGAGGGGGAGGACTGCGACGGCAAACTCAAATCAAGCCCAAGAGTATATTGACGCGATTACCAACAGAGCGACATCTCTACCTACGTTGTCTATGGTAACATCACCAACGAGCAAATATGCACTGATCTATGTTGGATTGACGGGAAAAAGCTTCATGGAGAGCTTGAATGCTTTGAAGGGGATGAGTGCGAGGAAGAAGAGGGCAAGCAACGGGAGAGAGGAAGAATTGGACTTGCTTATCGGGTCTGACCCTGAGACAGAATCACTTTACGCGGAGCTCCTCCCAATAACCCTCCTCCTCCTAACCCCCTTATCCCTTTCTCTCCCTTCTGCTCTCCTGACGTATCTGTTCGTAGCGAGGACGTTGGGCGTGGTTGAGTTAGGTACGTGCTGTCTCTTTTGTCTCGGTATCAAGATATCTCATTTGTGTTTTTTTCTCAATAGCTCCGATCTCTGCACTCCTCGCAGCTGTAACCACATCTCTTGTGGGTATATTTTGTGTAGGACTGGTGAAAGACGTCGTTGATGGGATGAGAGTTTGTTTAATGCTGTGGGAACGTGAGCGTAGTGGCGCCGAACGGGAAGGAGAAGAAGAAAGGGAAGACGACGAAGAGAGAAAATCAAGGCGTGAGATGGTTGCACGAGCGTTTGATCTCCAGAATCGAACTCAACGGAAGAATATTCCTAGTGCATCTGGTCCATCGCCTGGCTCTACCGCTCCCGCTCCTGTCGCTGGGCCGTCGAGGCAGCCACAAGCACCGCATCCCCCTTCCCCACCAGGGCCATCGGGACCACCAACTCGTCCGTTCGCCCTTTCGAGTTCCGCTTTCTCGCCTTCTCCTTATTCTCCTTATGAAATGGACGAAGCGAGTCCGCCTTTGAGTCTTCCTGATTCCCCAGAATCAAGCGATGGATGGGATGGACGCCGTGGATCTGGTACCACAATGGGAACAACCAGTTGAGGCGGTTACGGAGGTAGCAGGAGAAGGGGATGCAGAGGCTGATATTGATCCATTTGCTCTTGATCATGATGTTTCCGATTCCGAGTCGCCTTTCAAGGAATTGGAATCAAGGGAGGGTAGAGATTCACGGGCTGGAGTGCTCAAGTTCTCTGGCTCTGGTTCTGGGAGTGGGTCGAGCGGATTGGGCGGGTTAGGGCTAGGCGGGTCAAGCGGATTGTTTGGTTAAACAACTCTGCGAACTCGATTCTTGGACTATCTAGATAGTTGATTAATGATGTATAGAATGAGACTTCGCACACGAAAGGTTCCTGTGCCCAAACTTCCACCCCCGTTTCCCATGCTATAAACCTGACCGAGGATTTATCCATACGTTTTTGTTCTTCATCAAGCCATCTAATTCAAAAGAGCATGTATTGCGAGAGACTTGCAAAAAACTGAACAACCTAAAACTAAATTTTTGGTGATGACCACCGCAGGGGTCGAACCTGCAATCTCCTGATTGCGCTACGATAAACTAATCGTAGTCAGACGCGATGCCATTTCGCCAGGCGGCCAATATCTTCCTGTTGTTGACTACGCCTATCTAACTGTAGCTCATAACTCCAGCCCTAGCACTACTGCTATACGGACAACTCTCTATTGTACTGATTGTGCGCTTCGGAACGATTCGAGAAACACTCGCTCAACACGGAGAAAAGTGGTATCATAGTCGGAAGCAATGTCAAAGTCGTTTGAGCAGTTTGAGCTCATTTTGGGCTATTTTGGGTGGCGAGATATTCAAGCTGATGTGACTGCACCTTGACTACACTTCATCTAATTACACTCGGGTTCCCGAGCACTTGGATGCACTGGAAATGGTAAGAGTACCACCATCTCATATAAGCATCCGAGTCCCACTTCATCCTACCTCCTATCGTTCAACAATACGCAACATTGCAAACCCCTGGATACTCATAAAAAGCGTGTCAGCAAACGGTTAACTGAAGCCGTATCTAAAGTCTGTCTCCCCTAGGCAGACTTTATACGTTTGTTCACAGACAAGCAGTGCAAACTTGTATGGAATCCAAAAGCTTTGAAGCATTATAAAAGGACCTTGAATCCATTTGTTTGCGCTCCATTCCTTCGACTTGCTCAGATAAACTCAGTGTACCTCAACCCCTCAAAACCTCGCCTCTTATTATCGTTTCTCAGATTCTAGAATGCATCTCTCGTCTATCATTTCCGCTATTGTCGCTGCTGCTGGTGCCACAATGGTTTCCGCACAAGAAGCGGCGCGTTTTGGTATAGTGACTACCACGGTACCTTCTGGCCTACTGTCACCCAATGAGGTACTTGATCATCTCTCTATCAATCCTTCACCCCGAAATTGATCTCACGCTCGAGTAGAGTATTGCCATTAAATACAACTCCACACTTGCTGCCAACCAACCCATTTTCATCGACTTCATCATGCAAGGAGGGCGTTCAAATGGATTTGCACTTCCCACTCTCTTGATATCGAGAAACATCTACGGTGCTGACCAGAAGTTGCTTCTGCAGAATGCCACGGCACCTCGCAACGAGCCTCCCCACCCGTGCCCAACTGGCCACCAGGCCCCCGACCTTCCCCATCCGGGGACAACGTTACCTATGTCTTGTGGGCGTCGGTTACATTCAACGTAGATGGTATCACGGAGATTGGAGGCGTATCTACCCCAGACCCAGGATTCTAGAAATTCGATAGAAACTTGCAGGAAACGACCCGTAACTTTCTTCAAGCTCCATTCCTTCGCTAGTAGTAGTACTGTAGCAGTGTAAACTACTTAAGTAGTATACAACGTCTTCCACTCTTTTGGGCCTTTCAACGCGCCGATCCCAATAAGTGGTTGAATCTTTGCACCAGACTTGAAATAAAACCTAGAAAACCTTGGGATATGCGCAAAGTTGTGACTTGTGGAGTAGGGAATCAGGATAATTCCATCACGATAAGCTCATGTGACCGTAATCTGCCTGTTCGCTTTCAGCTCGCATCTAATCAAGCGCTACCTCCTCGTGGAAGCTAGAACACGCCTTAGCCAGGTGCTACCTGCAAATCTGCCTACGAACTTTAGTCCTTCTCCCTCGTGCTGATTAGCTTCGACTCCATTTAAAGAGTCGATGTGTTACTTTTTCAGATCATCTTTCTCCCATGTCGATAAACGGCAGCGGTATCGTCCATAATGCGGGGACAGCAAACGGTGAATTGGCTCACCTGCCTCTCGAAGAGGTCCGTATCACCACCTTGATCGTCGATGGTAAGTTTCTATTGACACCCCAAGTATTGCCACTTACAAGAACAACTGTAACAGTATCAGCCAGAGTAACGTTGACGCAGTCATTTGTTAATCCTTCCGACCATGCTACTAGCAAAGCCGTCTATCATTTTCCGGTCCCTGCATCAGCAGCCATCTGCGGATTCGAGATGCGATTAGGCGATGGACGAATAATCAAAGGCATTTCAAGGAATAACAAGGAAGCCACAGAGGAATTCGAGAGGGCTGTTCTAGAGGGCAGAGAAGCCTCGTTGCTGAAATGGGTCACTGATGATAGTTCGTGCCTTCAGTTTCTGCCGCGCACACTGTACTAAGTCCTTACTATTCTGCATCTGCAGTATTCACTATATCGATTGGCTCCATCAAAGCTCATCAGACAGTTGAAACGAAACTGGTGGTAAATATCCTCACATTTCTCGAGCGTCCTCTTTATTAAAATGCTGCTATAGTATGTCATGAACTTGATGAATGAGAACACTGACCAGATTCGTTTTCACCTTCCAATGCATGTCGGTCAACGATACGGCGAGTTGCCTCAAGATCTTGTTGGATCCTCTGAACCATCGTCGCACACGCGAGTCAGGATTAACATTGACGTTCAAACAAGTGGTCGTATCTTGAATATAGAGAGTCCCACCCATGTCAACGACATAACCGCAACCCCATACCAAACGCATCTCAATAGGCCCTCACGCCGTAGATCCACTATAAAGTACCGGTCGAAATCCTTCCTTCAAAGGGACTTCATTTTGCTCATAGAGGCCGAGAAGCTCGACTCACCTCGTTGCTTTGCCGAATTAGAAGGTGATCCCGATCGTAAAGCTAGTCTAGCATTGCAGCTAGCGGTTGTGCCCAAGTTCAATCTGTCCTCTAGTCGCCCTCAAGAATATATTTTCGTCGTTGATAGAAGTGGTAGCATGCAGGGTAATCGTATTGAAACTGCTAAACGAACCCTTGCTATGCTCCTTCGTATGCTGCCACAAAATCATACTGTCTTCAACGTGGTTAGCTTTGGAAGTCACACCGAACATCTTTGGACTGAAAGCCAGATTTATACACAACACATGCTAGATGTCGCGGTAAGATGTCTCTCCCTGGACATTTACATAACTTCTAACGCATGGACATAAGACCAGTTTGGTTGAACGGATGGAGGCCAACTTTAGCGGGACAGAAATTTTCGATGCCATGCACAATGTCCTAAGCTCTCGCCGTTCGGGCATCGCAACTGCTGTATTTCTCTTAACAGACGGGGAGGTAAGAATGTCCTTCACTGTTCTCATAAGAAATGCTAATCAATGTGTCTGTGGGATATACTAGTCACATGATATCGATAGTACTACGAGGCTGGTTCAGAATGCAACAGATAGCACATCTGCTCCAAACGCTCTCCGAGTCTATGTACTGGGCATAGGCGATACAGTTTCAACTGCCATGTGCGAAGGAATCGCTAGGGCAGGAAATGGTGTATGCTTATTTGCTCACCAAGCAGAGAGCATTATGTACAAATGTGCTCGCTTGCTTCGAGCGGGTCGTACGCCTTTTATCAAAAATGTATCAATCGACTGGGGGCTCTCAAATGAATACTTACTTTCCTCTTCAAGCTCGGTCTCATTTTCGAGTCCTACTAGTTCAACTCCCTCATCTCAGTGGAGTACACGTCTAAAATCCTTCCCGGTGCTCCAGCAAGCGCCTACGAAAATTGACGATATCCATGCTGGACTGCGTTTCACAGTATATGCGATCCTTCGCCTTAAGAAGGTCCGTGTTCCCGAGGAAGTGGTACTTCGTGGAAACCTCGATGACACCGGGGAGCCATTCGAGTGGCGTGTCCCTATACGAGGGGTACAGCTGACGAATTCAGAGACTGGACTACCGACCATACACACCTTGGCAGCATGGCGTCTCATCCAAGAGCACGATACTCTTCGAGCGCCTCTTCCCATCTATGCTCCGATCCCTGGCACCTTTCCAAGGGTCGAAGAACTCCACGAGGCAGCGATTATTCGCCTTGGAGAAACGTATCAGCTTGCAAGCCGACACACATCCTTTGTGGCGGTTAATTCTAGAAGTGATTTGGGACGTAGAAACGACCCCCCGTCTAACTTTGGCAATTGGACCCAGAGTCCGGGACCTCCAGTTCGTTCGTCAAGTCAAGGCTCCAACGCAGTTTCGGGCTCAACTTTGAGTGCTCTCATATCCGGACTAGGATCTCTATTCTCATTTACGACTCCGTCTTCCGCCATGCCAGGAGAATGGCCGGCGGGCGACGCCGCATCGGTCTCATCCGCCCCCGCCAATGATGACCCAGACGAAGGTTATGAAACGTCAAATAGTGCACAAACGTTCACAACAATCAGCTCTGTATTTGGGTGGAGCTCGGGTTGGAGTGATTGGAATGAACCATCTTCACCGCATTCTCCCATATCAACACAGATGGAGAACAGTCCACCTCCCCAATTCGTTCCAACTCGATTTGCTCCCCCTCATATGCGACTACCTCCGCCTCTGCTCCCTACAGGTCCTAGTTCATCACCAGCACCTTTGTCACTTACGCCAGGAATAGTCGACCGAGTCAAGGCGCAACATTTCGACGGGTCATATCCTCTAGACGACGATCTCCGTTTGTTGGTGGGCGAAGCGGCAATCGACGAATTCAGGAGGCTTGGGGTAGACGATGTAACATGGGCTACAGCGCTATCCGTTGCATATGTTATGAACACGATGGGTAATCAGAAGGAACTTCTTGATGATTTGCTTTTCAAGTCTTTGAATTTTTTGCGGAACGGAGGGAACGAATATTTGGTTCAAAGAGCTACGGACGCATTATCGATATAAACGAAATTTCTGCATACGATAGACGAGCCACACCGAATACATATGATACTTACTACGTATAAAAACATTTGAAAAACTTAAAATTTTAAACATCTGCTTGAATGGGAGCGACCTGACCACCCTTGGCAGCAGAAGGAGTAAAAGTGTGCCAACGGTCATTGAAGCGGACGTCCAAAGGCCGGCCACCATACATGTATTGTTGGAATTTCGCTACAAGGCGTTAAATTGAGGCAGTGGCTAGAGCCAGTGGAGACTTACCGATAGCAGTTTCAGCTTCTCCGACCTGCGCAAATTGAACAACACCACAGCCCTTGGAACGAGTTCCTTCAAACAGAATCTCTGCCAATTCCACTTGACCAGTTGTTTCGAACAGCTCAACTAGATCTTCATTTGCAGTGGACCAAGGTAACTGGGGTTGATTTAGT